GAGAGAAACACATTGATTGGTTGCCTCCTGCCAGGCCCAGGCCAGGGAGGAGCCTACAACCAACTGAGGTACGTGTTCCTTGACTGGAATTGAACCAGGACGCTTTGGTCCTCAAGCCAATGCTCTATCTACTGAACCAAATCAGCTAGGGCTGTCCTTCTGGTTTTTTAGTTTTTTCTTTTGGTTCTCTGATTGAGTGATTTCATTGATCCTATCCTCAGCTTCCCTTAATCTGTTTTGTATTCTTCCCGCTTTTTCTTTATTAGTGCTATGTTATTCTTCATAGTCACTGTATCTTTTCTAATGCTGTTGACCAGCCTTGCCATCATTATTCTGAACTCTATTTCTGATATCTCCATTTCATTTAGTTCTTCTTCTGGAGAATTCTCTTGTTCTTTGGTTTGGCGGCTGTTGTTTTTGTCTCCCCATTATGGCTGCTTCTTTGAGTTTGTGTCTATGTATTAGTCAGGTCTGCTATGACTCCCAATCTCTAGTGCATGACAATCTCAAATGCTATTTGTGACTGGCTCTGAGTACCCTCTTTGTGGATAACAGCAATCCACAGCTTGTGGGTCCCGCTGCTGGGACTAGTTGTTTTTGGCAAGGACCAAGATGTGCATCAGAGTCTGCTTTTCCTAGTCCTGGGTCCAGAAGAAGATCAGGCAAAGACTCAAAGCCTCTGGAGATCCTCTTCTGCCTGCAGTCCAATGAACACTCAGTTTTGATTAGCCTCATGCTATAGACCACAGGTGGGGTGCCTTACCCTCAGACAAAACCGCCTAGATAGCAAAGGTTCACCAGCAAAGAAAACTTGGGTGGCTGCCCTCCAATCTTCAATCCCAGGCCCCTAATATTGGAGTCTCTTCAGAGAGCTCCAGTCTTTTCTGCTAGAACCTAAGGTGAATGGCTGCACATGAAATTTTTTGCATTGACCCTTTAAGAGGGTGTCTGCATTTCCAGCAGTTTCTCACTGGCAGACAGCAATTCTGCTGTCACAGCCAGATGTTACATGGTCACCTTTCTTAGTTTTGGTGCTTTTTATTGATTTTTTATAGAGAGGAAGGGAGAGGGATAGAGAGCTAGAAACATCGATGAGAGAGAAACATCGACCAGCTGCCCCTGAGAACTCTGTGGTCTAAACCCAGGTTGGGTTTAGACCACAGAGTTTTCTGTGAGAGCTCTTCTAGCCCTTCCATGCCTCTGCACTTCCTACTAGTCTGTGCTTTCTCTATTTTCCCTCCTTCGTTGTCAGGGTTCTCTCCAGCTGGTCTTAAGATCATTTTTCAGGGTGGTTTTCCTGTGTTTTAGTTGTATTTCCAGTATAGTCCTAAGAAAGTGTCAGTGTAATTTCCACTTACTACCACCATTTTTTAATCTTCCATTTATTAGAGTGGAAGGGAGAGAGCAGGAACATCTATGTGAGAGAGTCACAACAGTTGGTTGCCCCTTCATTTGCCCCAACATGGCCAGAGATCAAACCTGCAACCCAGGTATTTCCTCTTGACTGGGAATTGAACCCATGACCCTTCCATGCATGGGCAGACACTAACTTTTAAAAAATATATATTTTATTGATGTTTTACAGAGAGGAAGGGAGAGAGATAGAGAGCTAGAAACACCGATGAGAGAGAAACATAGACCAGCTGCCTCCTGCGCACACCCTTCCCTACCAGGGATGTGCCCATAACCATGTACGTTCCCTTGACCGGAATCGAACCTGGGACCTTTCAATCCGCAGGCCGACACACTATTCACTGAGCCAAACCAGTTTCGGCAAGATACTAACTCCTGAACCTCATTGGCCAGGGTAGAAATGAAATTTTTGTTGGTTGTGTTGCGTATATAATATCACCTTTAATCTACCACAAAAACTTTTTTGCTTATCTCATAAGTAGTACTCTTTATATGTTCCTGATACATATGTACAAATTGTCCTCCAGAAGACATGTTTACCAGCCTTTACAATGTGTCGCTTTGTATCAATTTTAACAATTTTATAAGTGAAAAGCAATTGTATTGTGCTCTCCCTTTTAATCATTGATGTGGATGGCTTAGTTATCTTTTATATGTTTTGTTTGTTCGGGGATGGCTACTGTTTGTAAGACATCATTATATACTAAGAAGAATAAATCATGTTTGTTATAAAAATTATTTATAGCCGAAACTGGTTTGGTTCAGAGGGTAGAGCGTCGGTCTGTGGGCTGAAAGGTCCCAGATTCGATTCCTGCAAGGGCATGTACATTGATTGCGGGCACATTCCCGGTGGGGGAGAGGTGCGGGGGCGGGGGCAGCTGGTCGATGTTTCTCTCTCATCGATGTTTCTAGCTCTCTATCCCTCTCCCTTCCTCTCTATAAAAAATCAATAAAATATATTTTAAAAATAAAAAATAATTTGTATATTGTAAATGTTTATATAGTTATCTATTCTTTCCCTTTTTCTCCTTCCATTGACTGAAAGTTTGAAATGTTTTCATGTTGTTTTCCAGGTGACTCTGTGATTTAATATATCTATTCATGAGTCATTGGCTTGCATCTCTTTAGTCCTTATTAAAATTCTTAGTCCTATTAATATCCTGTTGTATTCTTCGAATGAAGAATATGTTTTCACCATCTGTCCTTTCATCATAGAGGCACAGAACGCACACATATTATTGTTACATGTAAATATGTGCCCATTTTTCTTTTTTATGTGTCTCATTTATAGAAAGTAGTAGTTTTCTTTGAATGAAATAATTCCTTTACACGACTTAGTTTTTCTCTGTCTCCTACTTTCCCCCCATTATATGAATTTATATATTAACTAGAATCCTGGTGCATGAGATTTGTGCATGGGGGTGAGGGTCCCCTGAGCCCAGCCTTCACTCTCTCCAATCCAGTACCCCTCAGGTGATGTCCAACTGCCAATTTAGGCCCAATCCTGATGATTTAGGCCCAATCCTGATGATTGGGCCTAAACCGGCAGTAGGACATCCCTCTTACAATGCTGGATCGCTGACTCCTAATCACTCACCTGCCTGCCTGGTCACCCTTAACTGTCCCCCCTGCCAGCCTAATCACCCCTAACTGCCCCCCATGCAGCCTGCTGTTTGGTCGACCCTCACTAATCCCCCTGCCAGCTTGGTCCTAGGCAGCTACTTGTGAGGGCATGAGAGTTAATTTGCATATTACCTATTATATAGGAAGGTAGTATCAGCTTGGAGTCTCTATATGACTGAAAGAAGCAAAAGTAATTATTTTGGTTTGCTTTGGTTTATTAACTCTAATTACATCATAACTTCTCAGCTGAGGAAAGACTTTGCCTAAAAGTTGGACTAAATAAGGACGTAGAGAGATGTGGTAAAGGGAATGGTACCTCATGCATTGCAGCAAAGGTACTTTTTTGACTATTCGGATCAATTCTTCAGAATAATTGTCCTTGCTTAATGCCAGGACCATCCTCATTTCAGAAACAGTATCTAGCATATCTACTCTAGTTATAGGATAAAAATTTGGTGAACTTTAATTCTATTTATGTTTTGAGGTTCCTTATGAGTACAGTATTATGTGTGCAATAATTATGGTTAATTTTTGTTAGTTTCATTTTTACCTCTCATTCCAGATTTTACTTTTGGATAGCAAACTCCTTTTAAATTAGGCTTATAGAATTTAAATGATAAAAATTACTTTACCAAAGGCTATCTAGGCATGACAACTTCCAAAATCTGAATCAAATGGAGAGTCAAAACTAGTTTTAAGTTCTATAAAGAAAATGATACAAAATTTTAATCAGCAGGTTTTTTATTTTATTTTTTGTTTTGTTTGTTTTAATTGATTTTTTACAGAGAGGAAGGGAGAGAGATAGAGTTAGAAACATCAATGAGAGAGAAACATCGACCAGCTGCCTCTTGCACACCCCCTACAGGGGATGTGCCCGCAACCAATGTACATGCCCTTGACCGCAATCGAACTGGGGACCTTTAAGTCCGCAGACTGACGCTCTACCACTGAGCCAAACCGGTTTCGGCTTAATCAGCAGTTTTAGTGTTTAACTATGACATGTAAATGGGAATCTATATTCACTTTTTTTCCCCACATTAAAATCATTTGAACAGTCCATAGCATGAAACTTTTAAATATTTATCTGCATAAAGAGTCTTACATCTCCTTCCTATTAAAAAGATCTTTTTTGGGGAGGGGGGGGCATGCCTGTCTTTCCCTCCCCTCATTCCTCCCTCCCCCAAGGTATGCACCTCCTAAACTTGAGACACCCAGGAGGCTTACAACCAGGGAGCAGTGGACAGCAGCATCTGGTCCCCAGTTAACCCCCTGACCCTGTCCCCTAGATCCCTTTTCTCTGACTTAGTGAGTCAAAACATTATTTATTTTGGGAAATATACAAAACAAATGTTCAATAAAGTGTAGTTGTCCTGTTTGTGTGTGTGTGTGTGTGTTTACCTTTTCTTTTATTAGATTCTTAGGCAAATTCTCAGTGTATTTAAGGCAAAAATAGTGATCCTTACTACCATCCCCCTAATTTTATTTTGTTTTACTACTAAAGAAAAGTATAAAAGTTAAGGGTTTTAGAGTGATGCACATTTTTGAAATTCTAAGTCTGTTTTCTGTCTAGTGAATATTTTTCATCCTTTTACTTAGATGACAATACTTTTTAAGGTTTTACTTTTGTCAAATATTAAAACTGTAAGAAAGGTCTCTGAACTGCTTCAGTTTGCCTCTCCAGTTACGTGTATTCTTCATAGTATTACCTCCCAAACACTACAAATTACGTAAACCATTGGACCCTTTTTAAAATCTCCGGTGTTTTTTAATGTTAGTATGTTTACATATATTATATATATTCTTTAGGTGATAAAAACGAATTTGGAAGTATGCTATACATTCTCTAACTACCTAATATTATTTATTAAATAGATTGAATTTCAAAAAAATAAAATCTTAACTCAGAGTGAAGAACTGATCTTACATTGTTGTATTTTAACTCTGCACTTACTGGCTCCTCACAGGAGACTCCTATGATTACCAGAATAGAAAAACAGAAGCGCAAAGAGGAGGAAGAAGAACGTCAACTTCTTATAGCAGTGCAGAAGAAGGAGCAAGAGCAGATGCTAAAGGAAGAGAAGAAAAGAGAGTTGGAGGAAAAGGTCAAGGCAGTGGAAGGTATATGGGCTTTCTGTGTAGTCCGGAAGAAATATGTGGCATGCTAATAGTGATCAATAGCCAAAACCACTTCAAACTGGGTTCTGTCATTTAAGCTGTTTCTGGCAACTTTTAACTTGTAAATTCTATTCTGCCTTCTTTATTATCTAGATCCCGTCTCATTGCCATTGCATTCCTGCTAAAGCACTGGTATTTTTTCATTGTGTGTCTTCCTTTCATTCTCTTGCCTGTTCCCATTTCTGCTAAGTTCCTTATATATTATAGAATGGAGAAAAACTTAAAGTATTGATGACAACTATTTTCACAGAAATTATTTTGAACACAAATAAAATGTGCCCAGGAAAAGGCTTAGAGATTTTTTTTTTTCCAGCTCTTTGGAACTATATACATCTAGACTATTATGAAGGCAAAGCGTTTTCTCAAGCTTGGGTTCTAGTCATAGTTTTAGTGTAATGAAATTATAGCAACGGATAAAAACTGCCTTTAGATGTGTTACGTAGCAGTTATATTTATAAGTTGAGCCTGTTGTGTCATGTGTTAACATCATTTGACTTGTCTGAATACTGACCAATATTTATTTTCTTTTAAATAAATGTATTTTTAAAGCTTTTTTTTTATTATTATTTTTAAAGCTTTCTTTTAAATATCTTTTTATTTGTTTCAAAAAGGGAGAAGATAGAAACATCAATGATGAGAGAGAATCATTGACCAGCTGCCTCCTGCACACACACACTAGGGATTGAGCCCACAACCTGGGCATTTGCCCTGACAGGCAACTGAACTGTGACCTCCTGGTTTATGGGTTGACACTCAACCACTGAGGCACACTGGCTGGGCTCAATGTGCATGTTTACTCCTATTCCTCTGTAGTGCCTTTTATTTCTTAAAAAGTTAAACCAATTCCTACTTTCCTTGTTTCTTCATTCTAAAATTCTTAGTGCATTTATGCTGCAGAGTTAGCCTTTGTCTTAGCCTAGGTAGTATATCCAACTTGTAAGATTTAGCATGTTTTAATTCCAGTGCTAGATTTAAATTCCTCTACATGATAACTGTAGCTTTTATTTCTTTTCTTTATTTTTTTTAAGTGGAATTATTATATAATCTTACTGTAATTTTCAGTGGGGTTATTATTGGGTCACTATTGTCAGTTTGAGTTTTAATTTATGAAGACAGGTCCAAAATTTATGTTTATGGCTTAGTTTCTATACCTAAGAATAGAAAGATTAGTAATAATATCTGTTATAGATTGTTCTTTAAATCAACATGTTTTTGGGGCACCCATTCTCTGCCCGGCACTGTTGTGGAAATATAGTGGTAAATAAAATAAGATATTCTTTCATGGAGTTTACGTTATAATAGTGGGTAAACAGTGAACAAATATTGAAAAACCATAGATACTGGTGAGTAATCTCAAGAAAAATAAAACTGGATATCCAAAATGGCAGTGTAGATAAACATCTAAATTGCTGCCCTGCACAACAATTTCAAAACTACAGCTAAAAGTCAAAACATCTATCATCCAGAACCACAGGAAAGCTGGCTGAGTGCAAGTTCTACAACTAGATGGAAAGAGGAAAGGGCATTCAGTGCACAAATGCTGAAAAACTGAGGTACAGGTACGCGCGCACCAAAAGGGCTGGTGGCAGATCCCAGCTGGTGTCAGGTGTTGCTTTCTTCAGCCAGAAGAGAGACAAGCTCCCAATCTCTCTGAAATTTAGTTTCTGGGGAGAAGCTGGACTGTCTGCCATCGGGTCAGAAAGTGAGGGTGGCTTGCTTGCAGAGCTGCGCGCAAGAATAATCGTTTGCTGTGCTGAGGCACAAGACTTGGGGACCGATCAGAGAGGCAGACAGCTCACTGCCAGCCATCGCTGTTTGCCACATCCTAGCCTAGTGACGCCCTGAGACTCTGCCCCACACAATCTACAAACACACCCAAGCTCCAAACAATGGCTTTTGCATATGAATGACCTTTTCTATTGTAGTTTAACCTAACAAACTTGCAACCTGGTGCAGACAGCTCCAAAGCCTCCAAGCTCCAAGCAGGGAGGAGGGGACTGTGGTTCTCTCTGTAGGTCCTGCAGGGTGACCTCAGACAGTAGCTGAACTGCTCCCCATTGGAGATCCAGAAGCCAGTGTACCTAGTGGTCAGTGTGAGACACCAGATTTCTACTCCTCACATCCATAAGTGACACATTCAGGAGGCGGACTAAGTGAGCACCAAAGCCCCACTGAAACAAGGCCTGCACCATAGGCGTGTCTCCAGCGCAGCAGTTCTAGACACAGCAGGTCCTCACAGCCAATTGGCCTGGAGGTCAATTCCTCCCAGTGTACCAACAGCAATCAAGGCTTAACTACACCAAGACTTTGCACTCAGCCCACAAAGGGGTAAACCAAGAGCAACCACCTCAGGTGATTGGGAAAGCTGAGCTACTGGCCCCTATAGGTCACCTACCACACAAAGCCACTCCATCAACACGGGAGGCAGCCAAAATGCAGAGACAACAGAAGCATGTCACAAATGGGAGAAATGGAGGAAAGTAAACTACTGGACGACATTTATAAGGTTACTCAAGAATCTTCTAAAAACCACTGAGAAACTTGAAGAGACCTTCAAGGACCTTAATGAGAATGCCAAAAAGATGGAAAAGGACAGTCAGAAATTAATCATATACTGTCTGAAATAAAGGATATACAGAAAGTCAGCTGTAGATCAACGTATCCCAAGAGTCAAATCAAAGATCTGGAATATAAGGAAGTAAAAAACACCCAACCAGAGAGGCAGAAAGAAGAATCCAAAAGGTAGTATAAGGAGTCTCTGGGACGGCTTTAAGCATGCCAACATCCAGATTTTGGGGGTGCCAGAAGAAGAGAGCAGGTTATTGAAGGCCTATTGGAAGAAATAATGACAGAAAACTTTTCCTGCCTGGTGAAAGAAATAGACTTATAAGTTCAGGAAGCTCACATAACCCCAAACAAGAGGAATCTAAAGAGGACCATACCACCATACATCATAATTAAAATGCCAATGGCGAAAGACAAAGAGAGAATCTTGAAAGCACTAAGAGAAAAAGTTACCTATAGGGGAGTACCCATAGGACTCAGCTGATTTCTCAACAGAAACTATGCAGGCCAGAAGGGAGTGGCAAGAAATATTCAAAGTGATGAATAGCAAGAATCTACACCTGAGATTCTACCCATCAAAGCTATAATTCAGAATTGAAGGGCAGATAGAGAGCTTCACAGATATGAAAAAGCTAAAGGAGTTCACCACCACCAAACCAGTATTATATGAAATGCTAAAAGGTATTCTTTAAAAAGTGGTAGAAGAAGAAAAAGGTAAAGATGGCCAGCAGGGGAGGGAATTTGAGAGGGACCTGGCCTGCAGGGAGAGCTATTGAGAACGATCAAGCCTGCAGGGGAGGGCAGTTAGGGGTGACCAGACCAGCAGAGGAAGGAAGTTGGGGGTGACCGGGCCTGCAGGGAAGGACAGTTGGAGGGATCCAGTCCTGCAGGCAAGAGTTGGGGGTTACCTGGCCTGCAGGGAAGGGCAGTTAGGGTGACCACCCTTGTAGGGGAGGTCAGTTGGGGTGACCAGCCTTGCAGGGGAGGGTAATTAGGGACAGTCTGGCAGGGGAGCAATTAGGCATCAATCAGGCAGGCAGGGGAGTGGTTAGGAGTGATCAGGCTGGCAGGCAGAAGCAGTTAGGGGCAATCAGGAAAGCAGGCAGGTGAGCAGTTGTATGCCAGCAGACCTAGATTGTGAGAGGGATATTAGATGGGCAGTTGGATATCCCCCAAGGTGTCCCAGTTTGGAGAAGGTGCAGGCTGGGCTGAGAGACTTCGTTTCTCCCCTCCTTGCCCCCCCCATGCACAAATTTTGTGCACCGAGCCTCTAGTGTGTGTGTGTGTGTGTGTGTGTGTGTGTGTGTAAAAGCCCAGCAACCGGAATGGCAGAATGACCAGAAAAACTGGTGACTGTGATGTGAACTGTGGCAGCCAAGCGGCCTGATTCCGGCTCTAATCAGCTTCCCCCAGCTTGCCCGATCCCCAATCACTGCACCCCCTCCCTGGTCAGGTGTGGGGCCCGCTGACCAACCATCTGTAATCCCTCCCCAAGGCTGGCTCTGCCAATGAGTCCAAATTGGGCAGGCCAGCTGGATCCCACTTGTGCATGAATTCATGCACCAGGCTTCCAATATGCTAATGATATGCTAAGGCCACACAACCACTTGCTGACATGCACTGACCATCAGGGGGCAGATACTTCATACAGTAGGTGAGCTTGTTGCTGGGGTCTGGCTGATCCAGGCTGAGCAACATGGGCCCAACATGCCCTCTAGTGTCATGCACTCCCTCCCCAGCTGGTCAATCTCCTTCAACCCTCCCCGGTCCTGATTATATAGCAGTGGGGTCCTTGACCTGGCCTGTGCCCTCTACCAATCCAGGATCCCTCAGGAGATATTGGAGAGCCACTTTCCACCTGATCCCAAAGGCCAAGCTGAGGGACTCCACTGGTGCATGAATTCATGCACTGGACCTCTAATTGGTTTATAAAAGAGCTGTAGATTTCCAGATATTAATTTTATATCTTGTTACATTTCCAAATTTATTTATTCTAGTAGGTTTTCTTTTTATGGATTTTATAGGGTTTCCTATGTACAATATTATGTCTTCTTCAAATAGTTAACAGTTTTACCTCTTTTCCAATTTGGATGCCTTTTATTTCTTCTTGTCTGATTGCTATGGAAACTAAGGAGAAAATAAATCAAAATACAAAATTCTGCACAACAAAAGAAACCATCAACAAAACAATAAGAAAACCACTGCATGGGAGAACATATTTGCCAATGTTATATCTGATTAGGGCCTAATCTCCAAAACTTATAAAGAACTCATACAACTTACAAAAGGAAGATGATCCAATTAAAAAATGGATAAGGGACTTAAACAGACACTTTTCAAAAGGGGACATACAGGCTCCTTTGTTCATTGCATCGGAC